CCAATTTTCCTCCCCTCTGATCCCAGGATCTGCTGCCTCCCAGCGAAGATGAAATATTCAGCGATTACAGTCAGTAAGCCCTAAGCATATGCAAATGGATCTTTTTGAAAAGGCTTGTATCCTGGCTAAATTCAGATGCTTTGTCATGCAAATGGAGAAAGACACATCTCTGGAATCAAATCCCTCATCCTTTTCTTTTTCAACCAGATTTCAAGTGTTTTGAAGGAGAGAGGTATCATTGGTCTTCCGAGGTAAAAGTTGAGAAAACTTTTAAAACATTGGAAAACACCTATTGTCTTTGCCCAATTTTCAAAATGGGCCACATTTGAACTGAACTTTTACACACCAAAAACAGTTACATGAATCGGCACAAGGCTTAAATATTGCACTGTAACTTTTCCACCCAAACAGTGGAAGTTTGGCAAAGTTACTGAAATCTTGGCTGCTTTAGTACTTGTGACAGTATCACAGGCCTGTAATTTAAGCAGAATTAATTTCTTCTGTTTAGTCTGAATGGCAGCACATACATTACCTAAAACATTTTCATGTGCTCCCCAGACACCTGTGCAGAGTGAATGAGCACCTGAAGCACATGGCCAATAATAAATACTGATAAACACATACTATTTCCAGAGCCGTCCCTTCTGCACACTTTATTAAAATGTATATTCTTGTAAAATGCCTGATGTTCACAGACTCCCTGAGCAGCACAATTGCAACTTTTACAAGTTAGACCTGATGGATACAGGTTAAACCCAAACTTTACAAAACAGGCAGGACTAAACTATGAGATTTGTCTTCAGAAGTGGGGGGGAGAGAATTAATGCATGTTTTACCACCAAAATCTTAAGAAACTACCTGGCCACTTCCCAGGGATGAGTAGCAAATTCAACACTGAAGCCAGGTAATTTTTATCTGGATCTTATTTTTGTGTAGGTTCCAAACATTGCAGTTGAAGAGGTGACTTAACTATGTAAACTTGGGCAATGCAGTCTTTTCAAATCTGAGGGGGAAAAAAAAACCATGGAAGAAGACACCCAAAGAACTCCACTCATACAAGGGAACTGCACATACAAACAGCCAACCTCTCAAAACAGACCTGAAGAGAAGCAGTGTTTTGATAAGGCATCCTTTTATAACAAATTAAGTCACAGTCTCTAGTCATCCAGTTAGTTTTTAACCAAAATCTGGGTGTCTGCCAAGCCCCACGAAGGTTTAGGGCTTCTTGGGAAGAGGATTAGTTTGGAAGAGAACTGGAACATAAAGAAAACTGAACTCAAAACATATATTCCCACCAGAATTTAGTTTTCCTTAGATGCTTGTTAGAACTGCTTTTCTACGTATCTATTTTCAACTCGAAGTATTATTTATATTTAAACAGAGGAATACATTTTCAAATGGAACTTGTGTGGTCAGGTCCCTTTTTGTCTCAAAGATTGAAAGTTTAGAGAGTTTCACCATTCAGTGAAGTGTCGTCAGGTCCAAGCTCCTGATCTGAAACAGTCCTATCTTAAGGAATAAGGGGAGGAAAAAACGAAAAAAGACTGTTCACAGTTGCTGGGAAGAGGTAACAATAGAGGATGTGCGGATACTTTTTTGTCTTTTTTCCTTTGACAGCGTGGCCGGGTCTGAGGTGGTGCCGGCACAGCGGTGTGGTGAAGAGCTACTGTTTAACACAATTTTTCCATCCTTGAGCAACCAGGCTGGACACAGCCCAAAATTAAGGCACAGCTGTTCCGGAGCAAGAGGAAGGGGCACTCTCCTCTCGCCTCACAGGTATGGAGCGCCCTCACCCTCAGTGTTTTATACCCAGCTGTGCTGTGCTGCACCTCCCTGGCACAAACCCAGCTATTGCTGCCCCCAGATTCACCCACCCACACTTCACATGAGTGGTGAAGCTAAACAATGCAGGCGGTTCACCCCAGAGGTCAAGCAGAAGGGACAGAGAGAGGGACCGCAACACAAATGCCATCTTGGAACTGAACATTTGCCAAGGGCCGTTACAAATGGCTGGCAAAACTTTGTTCGTTTTTATAGTAATTACATAACCTCAAAGGACACAAACACCAGCAAGACCCCGTGCTACAGGACACACTTGGCACTGGGCTGTCCTGTAAAATACATCAGGACAAATACCACCAACAGCAGCGGAACAGCACACCTCCTTCCCACACCTGGTAAAGAAGCTGCTCACACCCTGGTCCTCTCACTGCCACACATGGGGAACACACACGGTCCACATAATCAGGCCATGAAAAACTCAGGGAGTGAGATTTTTTAAAAAAATTATTTCCTCAATTATTACAAGTGTATTTTGGAGACTGGTTACTGGCTACATGTTTTAGGCACTTAAAATCTTGAGGAGACACGCCAGTGTTCAGTTGAATTTTCTGTTCTAAAAACTTTAATATTAAACATAATTATAATTCCACTTTTCTTGATTAAATAAGTACTTATTGTATCAGTCAAACATATGTATTTTCCTCTGTGGTTTCCAAATTAACACAATCTCATGCAGAAGTCAGAGCTGTAATTTTTGTAGAGATATTTAATTGGACAGCCACTTCTTTTTGAGCAGAACAAAAACTCATGCATTACCTTGGGACAAGCATTTCATGGCTGTAAAGCAATGTAAGAGGGGAAAAATTGCAATCACAGTTTTCTGGAAGTCAGAAAGAAAGCATGTGAAAATGGCAAGGATGTGCTCTGATCAGAAAGAAGAAATTTTAACAGATGAAATACCAAAAAAATCTGGAATGTAGACTATACATAATGGTATTCCACATGATAAAACAAGTCTCAAAGCTTTTATATATATATATACATTTTTTCCGCACTGGAGGAAGGAGAAAGTGGATGTTTCTAAGTCCCAGCTGAGTTAATTTATAAGGAGATGCAACCATGAAGTTTCTGACCTGTCAGGTCCACGATCTGAAAACAAACCATTTCAGTGTTTTGCACAAAATAATCTACACGTGAGGAGCCCACATTTCCAGCTGTTAGCTCCAAGTGGGAGACAACGTGTATTTAAATCGAACAGCACCATCTAGCAGGTCCTCACAACTTTACTTAGGAGGGCAGCTGCTACTTGACAATAAGTCAGTTTGGCAGGCTTGCCCTGAAAATTGTTAAGCGTTTTCAGAGCAAACAAAATATTACGTGCTTTACAGCACCAAGAACCCCGAAGAAAAACCAGCTGCAGTGAAAAGAGTACGGCTGAAAACTGTTTAAAGTTTCAGCCCCACGGCCAGAGCACTTGTGCGTGTGGCTTGCACGGGGTAGCTTTTGCACAGCAGAATTAAAACAACATGATCTTCATCCGATCCGATGCACAGCAGCCCTATGGATTTGTTTTCGGTCCCACTGTGAGATCCCACTGCGCCCTTCAGTGATTTACCGAGTGTATTGACAAACACCAGCAGCCGTGTAGCACGAGGAAATGGTTTAATTCCCTAATTTTGCTAAGACAAAATAAACAGTGCTTCCACGAGCCGGCCAAGCAATTATTTTTAAAATTATCCCGGCGCTGGAACTAAGAAGTGCCACTAGTTGATCAGATTTCAGAGCCCAAGTTGTGCCTCCCGCTCCAGCTCAGCAATTAACTGAGATGGAGCAAATGCCCGGCAGGGCTGCCTCTGCCTCCCTCCACCTTCCCGTGGCAAAGTTAGGTGTGAAATTGTCAAACGCCTGAAATTCCCCTTCTCCCCCTGTCGAAACAGAGATGCCTGGCCTGCTGCTGCTGTTGCGGGAAGCGTGCATGCCAGCCTCTGGAATTAGGCAGTCTTGGAAAAAAAAAAAAAAAAAAAAAAAAAAAAAAAAAAAAAAAAAAAAAAAAAAAAAAAAAAACAACCACCCCCAACCAAACAGAACCAAAAATAAGAACGCACCTAAAGAACTAACCCAACATCAACCAAAGAATTAAAAAAAAAAAAAAAAGCAAAGAAACAAATAAAACCATCAAACCCAAAATTCCTAAACTCACACATACGGGAGGGAAAAAAAATTGAAATAAAAAGAAAGAAAAACACCCAACAAACAAACAAACAAAAAATTAAAAAAACTTTTAGGTGAAGGTTCAAGACCAGCTGCCTGCAGGGAAACTCCTCGGCCGTGCCCGGAGCGCAGATCCCGGGTGCTGAACCCGCTCGGCAGCGATGCGATTTTTGGAACAGAGAGGTGCGAACGCGGTCTCTGGCAGGCGCTCTCCGCCTCCGGACCCCCTCAGCAGCCTTACCCCGACCTTCCCACCTCCGGCACACTTCGTCCCCCTCCTCCTCATCTTCTTCTTCCTCCTCCTCCTCCTCCTCGCACGGGCTTTTCCTCCCCCCTCCACCCCCACCGTGCCAAACCGGCCTCGGTCACGCCAAGTCGCGGCCGCTACAGGACAGCCTGAGGAGAGGCCATCCATTCCCCCAAAAACTGCGTTTTCCCCTCGGCTCTCCCGGCGCTGCCCGTGCCGGGGGCACCCCCAGCCCTCCCCGTCGGGCAGCGGGCAGGAGAACGCCGGAGCGCGGCTCGCCCGGGCGCGTTAAGCGCAATTAGGAATAATAAAAAAAAAAAAATCATAAAACCCCAGCATGAGTTCGGGCAGGCAGCGGGAGCCCGGGGGGCGCGGTGCCCGCTCCCCTTTGTGCGGCGGGGCGGGCGCGGAGCCCCCCGAGAGCGAACAATGGGGGGCCGCGGCAAAAGTTGCGAGGCGCCCACTTGGGACGCGGCCCCGGCCCCCTGCCCGGGCTCTTTGTTACCGGAGGGGTCCCGGCACCTTGCGGGGCCGGGCTGCGGGGCGGGCACGGGTGGGTCTGAGGGGGGACACACTGCGGCGACCCTGTCCGAGCTCGGACACCGCGTCCCGGCGCGGGGACCCGCGGAGCGCGGCCGTTCCCCCCCCTACCCCTCCCCGCGCCCCTCTCGCCCTCACAAACTTTGTGAGGGGGCCGCGCGCGCGGGGCCGGCGGGCGTGTGGGGCGCGCCGGGCCGGGGTGTGGGGAGCGAGCACTCACTTCTCGCGGGCCTGGCTGTCGGACGGGACGCTGCTGTTGCTCTTGCCTTTGCCGTACATGCCTGCGGAGAAGCTCCCGACTGTCACGCACCTGTCAACCCATCACCGCCTCCCCGGGACCGGCCCCGTCGCCACGGTGACGGGCGCCACACGCGCCCGCCATTGGCCGGGCCCGCCCCCCGCGCGGTGATGGACGGGGCGCGCATCCGGCCGGGCGCGGCCCCGCCCCCCCCCCGCGCGAGGGGGAATTAGAAACGGTTCGAGAAGGATTTTAAACAAGCGGCTGTTCCCGGCGCCCGCCGCGCCCCCCGCCGCCGCGCCGCCGAGCGGGGAGCGCGCCGGAGAGACGCAAACTGCGGACCGGATTGCCGGCCGGCGCGGAACGGGCAGCGCCCGAACCGCCGCTCCGTGTCCCCAGCTGGAACCCCCCCCCCCCCTCCCCGACACCCGCAGCGAGCCCCCCGCCCCAAAAATACCCCCCAAAAACACCCCCGAGGGTCTCTTCGCACCCCTCACCCCCAGGGGAAGGGACCCCCTCCCAGCGAGACCCGGGACCGGGCTGGAGGTGGGGAGGAAACATTTCCTGAAGCGAAGCAGCGTGTCTTAGAGTAGCTTAAAAAATAATCAAAAAAATAAAAATTAAGAAGGAAAAAAAAATAAAAACCACCCACGGTCTGAAGAAAATTCAAGGAAATGCTTTGATTTTTTTTTTTTTAAAGTTACACGGCAATAATTGCGTGCTCCGCAGAGACGGCAGAGAGAGAGAGAGAGAGAGCAGCCACTGGGGCCATTTGTTACTTGATTTCTCTTTTTTTTAAGTACCCGAAGCTCTGGAATTTTTCCGCTCTTCCTCCTCAACCACAGTCCCAAATTTTGCAGATATTGGTGCCTGCTCGTGCTTTTAAACTGGGGCTAACCTTGTAAACCCACTCCTGTGTGTGACCCGTGGGAAGGGGGGGTTTTAGTATTTCGATGTTTTAAGTGAGCAATGCCAATCTCTCTCTCTTTTTTTTTCTTTTTTTTTTCTTTTTTTTTTGTGTGTCAAACGCACCCAACATCTTTCCCCCCGCCGTGTCAGAAACAACCAGGGCCACGAGGAAAAAAAAACCAAAAAAAAAAACCAAAAAAACAAACAAACAAAAAAAACCCCAAAACACAAAAACCCGACCAAAATTCGAGAGAGAGAGAGCAGGGAAGTTGTGCCAGAGCGTAGACCACCAGCATCTGTTTATCATTGTTGGAGCTGCAAAGGGTGGGGGGAAAAAAACATCCTCTGGATCCCGAGCTGGCGGAGCGGAGGGAATGGTTGGCGAGGTGAAGCTGGGGAGGGGGGGATTAGGAGAGTATTAATGAGCGGCTGGAACAAATTAGCGGGGGAGTAGCAGAGACAACAGGAAGGAGTGCGAGAGGCTGGAGAACCCGAGGTGCTTGCGGCAGCTCCCTGCCCGGCGTGGGATGAACCCACCCCAACCATTCATCGGATTGAAACACACGGCAACAAAAGCCATTTTGTGCCAAAGTTGGTTGTCTTGGGCTTTTCACCCCCGTTACACGATTTAAAAAAAAAAAAAAAATTTATGGGCAGCGTGAGAGTGCGGTTGGAGTGGATGTAGGGGAAGAAGTAAATTAGGCTGACATCATTCACCCTTGGTTGGGACCGAGGCTCCTGCTCCCGAGTTACACCCAGGAAAGCAGAGGAAGCGGGTTATGGTGCGAGCAGAAAGTGGGAAAGGAGAAAAAGAGGGAGGAAGGAGTGAGTGGAAGGGAAGGAGAAGCCGGCAGAGGAAACGAAGGATGCGGAGAAGAAAAAGCAAAGTAAAAGCACCACGCACGGTGAATTTGGGGGGAAAGGAGCAGGGAGAGAAGCGGAGAAGTTGCTGCAGGGCCAACCTAAGGGAGGCGTTTTGCCCACATTGGGGCAGAGGAATTGTCACAAGCTGAGGTGGCGCCTGGTGGCACTCGGGGAGGCAGGACAGGGCACAGAGAGAGGGAACCAGGGCAGGGAACAAAGAAGGACTCGGGCTGTGGGTGAGATTTTAAAGAAGGCTGCTGAGGAAGGGCAAGGAGCGAGCGTGGACATCCTTGGTCAGGCCACAGGGGTGGCTGGAGCCTGGGTGCGGATAACCCGGAGCAGAGCTCTGATCCCGGTGTTGGCTCGCCCTCGGGAAGGGCGGGATGGCCCATCCACCCCTCTCCAAGGCTCCGCTCCGCTTCCACACCGAGCTGATGGCGGTGGCGAAACCCTTCCCGGGCGGGCGGGACGGTGCTCCGAGGCTCTCGCTTGGTTTGCCTCGATGGTTTTGGTTGATTTGTTTGTGGTCTAAGGGTGGGGGATATTTTGCATCAGCCCTGTGAGGGGAGAATTTTTCCTCTTGGAGAAGGACAAGGTTGAGGTGTTCCCTAAAAGCGCGATGGCGGGATAGCTGCCGTGTCCTTTGGAGATGCATCCCAGGACGGGACTTCCGCAGCTGAAAATGCTTTGTTCCCGTTTTCCCTGTGATCCATTTGCGTCCCTGCGGTTTATTTTGGCCTGGCGGGCTGTGCAGATCAAATCGTGCAGATGAAATCGTGCAGATCAAATCGTGATTTGGGGCAGGGCGGGATGAACTTCGGCAAGGGCCCCGCGACACGAGCAGGGACGAACGAAAACCGCGAGGGCAAAGGTTTTAAATGTTCGAAATTCTCTTCGCAGGTGTGCCTCCCAAGCTACCATTAACATTCAGGTGATGGCTTTGTCATTTCGCTCGCAGATCCGGGAAGCGCAGGAACGGCGCTAAACCCGCATTTTGGGAGCAGATTTGGGAAGCGGAGCTGGGACCCGCCGGGTGATGCTGCCCACCCTGAGACCCATCGGCGCCACAAATCCCCAACGCCACAGTGGGGACAAAACCACAAAACTCAGCTTGGTGGGCAGGGAAACAACCACGGAAACCCACGCGGGTCCGCTGTGCCAGGAATTCTCCCTCGGGGCGCATTTTTTGCCGGGTGCCCCTGCTCCTGCTCCAGGAATTCCGAGCACAAACTCCGCTCCCAGCAGGAGCGTTTGGATCTCACGAGGCCGGCGCTGTAATTAATGAGATTTGAGGCGAAATTCGAGTTTCCGATGTCAGGAGTGAGGATCCAGCCTTTGTTACAAAAGGGGATGAGGGGTGGCGGTACTTTAAAGCTTCTCAGTCCGACACTGGGAAGGAATTCACAATGTATTTTTAGAGTGTTATAAAAATCTCTTACATAATGCTGATTAATTCTTCGGTTTTAGGGAAGAGCACTGGGCTTTGTGTATAAGAGTGTTGACCAGCTAAGCCACTGAAAAGGGCTGGTTTGGGCTGGATTTTTCTGTTTTTCCCCCCTTTAACTTTTTCTTGGATACAGAAAGCTGCAATTATTCAATTATTACAGGATTTTGCTTTTTGTTTGGGCGTGTTATGAATATTATTCTGGAAACTGTGCCTTATTCTTGGAAGTCTTTATCATTTTAAAACATATGCTATGTTATATCACCCTGTCTGAGATATAGGATGGCTCCAAACTGGGTGGTTGGTTTTATTTTTTTCCCCTCTCTCCTGCTGCAGCTAGTTAGAGTATGGATTAATGTTAAGGATATCTGCAGTGAAACGTTGCTTGTGTGGCTGGCTTAAGCAACATCGCATCACAGGATCACACTTTTATTGATACAGTAATATGTACAATTACTTTGCATTTCTGCCCATTCCGTTGATCCTCAAAAAAAAAAAATAACCATTGATTAATCCAACTGGCAGGTCTCACAGAGCCCTCAACAAAGGGCTGTTCAGGAAATTAAGTCAGTAAATGCTAGTCCCTTATTTTAATTCCAGTTATCTATACTTATTGCTGTGTAGCTGGGAAGATTTTTTGGGCAAGATATCATGGGAGAGAGATGCTTTTGTTTAGTCTTTTCCAACAAATACGTGACCGAGGCAGCTTTGAAGCCTTTTCTGAGGAATCCTTCCTCCTTCTGTGGAATGTTTAATCTTCCTGTGGAGTGCCTAACTGTGAGACTCCTTCTGCAGACTTTCATTCTGGTGCCATACAGATGAGCAGGGGTTGCTCAGGTGATTGAACGAGTCCTAAATCGTTGCTGGAGAAAGGAGAGAGCAGGAGCGCTTAGGTCAGAACAAAATCTTTATTTGCCCCCCTCTTTTCCACCTGGGAAGAGGGGAAAAAAAAGTAATTATAGCTCAGGGGTAGGGAGGGATAATCCTTGTGGGTCCCTTCCAGCTTGAGGCACTCTGTGATTCTGGATCTCAAAGAAAGGTTTGCCCATAGCCCAGTAACCCCTCGCACTTTCTGCTTCCAGCAGGAGCCACAATTCCCCCCTGTCTCTGCAGGAGGAGCCAGGGCGATTTGGCAGCCTCCAGCTCATCCATGGAGCACAAATACCATCGGCTGGGAGGCAAAACTTGCTGAGGAGAAACCTTCCACCTCCATTTCTGGGTTGATGGCTGCGCTGGGGCCGCTCACACACAGTTCAGAATGGGGAAATCATCTGCACAGGGCACCCAGTGCCACACGGTCTGAACCTTGCAATGGAAAAAATAACACACGATTGTGTGTACTGGTTTCCTCCACGGCTCCTTTTCCTGGTGTTTCATGTGGTTTCAGCCCTCCCTGGTGCTGTTTCCACTGGAGGGGCTGTCACAGCCTCTCTCTCTCACGCAGACACTCATGTGTTTGGTGCTGGCTGAGGGTTCAGCTCGTGCTCATGAAGAAAAGTTCAGATCCAGTCCTCCTCCTCTCCCCAGTCACATGCTTTGACGTCTGGAATGGGAATTGATATTTTCTTGGTGAAATGTATTTGATAATTGGGTTTAAATTATGCCTACATATACATAAGCACCCTTTAGTATGAGAGATCCCCCTGATCTCATTGGTTAGCTCATTGTTTTGAGCCATTTGATGGAAATTACATTTCGCCAGACAACCCAGTCTGTGGCGGGGGGGGGGGGGGGGGAAATACTATGAGAAAAAGTACATTGCCTTAGTTATTAATCATTTGAAGGATAGCTGAAAGTCACCACTGCTGGCTCAGTGATGTGTCACATCAGGAAGGTGGCTCCTCATGCTGCAAGTGACAACAAACAGGAGAAAAACTGCACGGGCACGGGGGACACAGGTGGATGTGAGGATAAATGGGCTCCTGATCCTGCACGGAGCTCCACATGGGCAGAATCTCTCT